CTCCTCCTCCCTCCTCTTCCTCACATCCACACACACCTGAGGAGGTGTTGTTAGAGTCGTTACCTTCGTTCTCTGCAGGGGAGGCCAGCTGGTGGAAAACATTTAAAACCATTAAAACCAAAAGAGCGAATCAGTGGCCGAGGCCACAACATTTCAAACACTGTAAAACGTAACAGACAGTAAAGAGAATAAACTGAAACTGGCTCATTTATGTTTCAGAAAAGATGATTTGACTGTCGTAAAGTTTCTGAGGTGGATTTAATGAGATTGTTGACGTGGTTCAGAGTTCATCCATTTCTCAATAACTCATTAGACATTATCGTAGTCTTACACGCAGCAAAGATAGGAGACCTCATTAAAGTGGATCATATAGAGGGAAAATAAACTGGGACCCAGAACGGATCCCTGTGGCACTCCAAGCCCAAAGAGACAGACAGCATGGGGAAACTGCTAGAATCCAGTCTTTGAGCTAATGCTACGTTCACCATGCTAAATCTGACTGCTGTTGCTTGTTCTCTGTGTGTTTCAGTACCTGAACAGAGGATGCACTCGCTTCTTCGCTTCCAAAGATACAGACAAACAGATCCTGCAGAACCGCAAGAGCCCCGAGGTAAAGTTCACACACCTTTCAAATTCATCTTACTCTGTTTCTATCAACTCAGATTCAACAACGGGAGAGTCACAGAAACTGGTACTGAGAGAAAGTTTTTAACACAAGAACCAACAGAACAACAGTTCCTAATGTGTGATTGATTTTTAGCATTTTAATTAAGATAAAGAACTTTAGGTCGAGGTTTTATTTTGCATCCATTCATTCTGATTCCTTTCTAACTTCCTCAGCCACAAAACATTTGACTGACGGAAGTTTGTTTTCAGAAATCTTCAAATTCAATACTCACCTTTTCTTAATATCTTTTATTCTTAAGATCTGTAGTTTCTGTTGTGGTTTCTTCTGTTTCTGTGTCAGTAAAGTCGAGGTTTATGGAGTTATTCGTGCAGTAATTTAACATTTAGTGACAGACTAACGACAGAAGACATAATGAGAAAACATGAATGCACAGAGAGAAAGAAACAGAAGAGTTTCAGAAGTGTTAAAGCTTCAGCTCAAGTTATATCAAAGATCTCTGCTGTTCAGTTTATATAAAACAGGAAAAAGTAGTTTTTCCATCAGGAGTCATTAATAACAAGAAAATCATGTTTAATTAGTAAAGTAGTTTAAAAACACAAAGGGCAACCGTTTACAGCTCACTGCCGTTAGAAACTGATCAGCGTCAGTAATCAATACTCCCATTATTGAAGCATTAATCAAACTAATACCGTCAGACAACCTTATCAGACTTTAGCAGTTAGCTAGTGTT